TCTCATTGATTTCAGCCTTGGCATCACGCATGACACCTCCACACTGGCCAGAGTGAAAAAAAGGGAACTGACTCATTTATCCCTACAGCTCACAATAATCTGTGTGTAGGCGAGTGTGCATGAGGGGGAAAGAGGCATGTTTTTGTGCATATGTAAGGGTATGTGATGGTGTAAAAGATTCCTAAGGATGTTAAGATGGCAGTTTTTTCAGGACAAAGAGGAAAGCTTCACTGCAGAGAACAACACGACATGGGGGAAAACAAATAAAAACCCACATAAGTCAACTTCTCTCGTCCAGAACTAGACAACTAGGACATCCAGACAAAGGGCGCATTGATATGGAAGTGACACACGGGTGGCAGCTGTACACATCATGTCATTCAGTGGTGTCTGCTGTGAAAGGAGACGTCAGGAAAGAGCGGAGTCTGGTGATGTGCCCTGATCCTGTGGGGAAACGTAGTGTCAAATAATGCAGGGCTTTGTCCTAGAAATATTAATGTAACCGATGCTGCAAATGTAATTCTTAACCTACATATGGTTGCTTTAAAAGATGGAGACAATTGGAAACAATGTTACATAACCCTGTGAGGAAAAGGCTAATAAGGAAACGTAATTGTACTTTGCTGAAAATGCAGCGACTTCCACAACAGGGACACTAGTCCAGTTGATCTGATTAGTGGAACCACTGTGTGCCGCAGAGTTCACTTGAGAAGATGGTTTTAAATACAGTTATATGTGCTGAATGTACCAAAACATGGAAGTAAACCGTGGCTGTCGGATAGTGAGGTTGCAAAGGCTTGTTTCAATCTGTGTATGCATGCAGCCTTATCCTCTGAAGAGAAGCACGCCAAAAGGACGAAGATAACAAAGAAAGTTTAGTCTATTTGCTTGTGTCAAAGTTACATGATGGAGTCATTTGTATTTAAAAACAAACAAGAGGATGCTTCTATTTTGGGGGGATTTATAGAAAAATGTCCATATTCTTAAAGTCGACCAAATTCACAATATCTTTGCAAACTGACTGACTTTTTTAATCATCAAATAGCACAGTTTGCATGCATTTAAGCAGCCAATTTGAAAATGTCAAACCTTCCTTTAAAGTTGACTGTTTACTTTTGTAATATAGTTACATCACGAGGTAACGTTTGCACTTTTATTGGCTAGCGCTCCAACACATTGTACGTGATAGGCTAAGGGGGCGGGACATCTCTAAGCGGTTGACCAATCACAACAGAGCCGGCCAGCTAACCAATCAGAGCAGACTGGGCTCTGGTTTCAGACAGAGGGTGAAAAGAGGTGCTGCAGCTACAGGCAGTATGAGAAAAATAAAGAGCTTTTTGAACATTAAAGCATGGAGACATGTAGAGACACTACATACTGATATACACCTGAACATCAGCAGGAGAGGACTCTTTAAAGTAGAGACACTACATACTGATATACACCTGAACATCAGCAGGAGAGGACTCTTAAAGTAGAGACACTACATACTGATATACACCTGAACATCAGCAGGAGAGGACTCTTTAAAGTAGAGACACTACATACTGATATACACCTGAACATCAGCAGGAGAGGACTCTTTAAAGTAGAGACACTACATACTGATATGCACCCTGAACATCAGCAGGAGAGGACTCTTTAAAGTAGAGACACTACATACTGATATACACCTGAACATCAGCAGGAGAGGACTCTTTAAAGTAGAGACACTACATACTGATATACACCTGAACATCAGCAGGAGAGGGACTCTTTAAAGTAGAGACACTACATACTGATATACACCTGAAACATCAGCAGGAGAGGACTCTTTAAAGTAGAGACACTACATACTGATATACACCTGAACATCAGCAGGAGAGGACTCTTTAAAGTAGAGACACTACATACTGATATACACCTGAACATCAGCAGGAGAGGACTCTTTAAAGTAGAGACACTACATACTGATATACACCTGAACATCAGCAGGAGAGGACTCTTTAAAGTAGAGACACTAAATACTGATATGCACCTGAACATCAGCAGGAGAGGACTCTTTAAAGTAGAGACACTACATACTGATATACACCTGAACATCAGCAGGAGAGGACTCTTTAAAGTAGAGACACTACATACTGATATACACCTGAACATCAGCAGGAGAGGACTCTTTAAAGTAGAGACACTACATACTGATATACACCTGAACATCAGCAGGAGGAGGACTCTTTAAAGTAGAGACACTACATACTGATATGCACCTGAACATCAGCAGGAGAGGACTCTTTAAAGTAGAGACACTACATACTGATATACACCTGAACATCAGCAGGAGAGGACTCTTTAAAGTAGAGACTCTACATACTGATATACACCTGAACATCAGCAGGAGAGGACTCTTTAAAGTAGAGACACTACATACTGATATACACCTGAACATCAGCAGGAGAGGACTCTTTAAAGTAGAGACACTACATACTGATATACACCTGAACATCAGCAGGAGAGGACTCTTTAAAGTAGAGACACTACATACAGATATGAACCTGGAACTAGCATTATATGTCCCGATTTTCTCAGTGACCAAAGATGTGTCACAGTTCTTTTGTATTTATGTGCATCATGTATGTTATTATCCTCCACATCCCTGTCCCCTTCACTTACATACTTCACAGAGTTAAAGTAAATAACATTACACTTGATAAGCTTAGCAGAATATGACATTAAATGTGCCTTGCATGAATGGAAAACGTTGGCAAAGTGAAGAGAGGATACCCTGCAGTCATGTGAAGCACAGAGACTGTACTGTGTTCTATAAAGTCCTCTTTTTCTTTAATGGTGACAGAGAAGTACCGGTTTAAAGAGTCGAGGGATTGTCATTGTGGCGCCTGATGCAAGCGTACAGCAACCCTGCGACCCAGAGCTCACACCCCGGCAATACCACAGCTACTTTAAACCACAACACACACACACACCACCACAGGCCTTTCACAGAATGCACCCGCAGACAGGACACACACTCATGTCTCTATGTGCCCACACTCAACACAACTATTTAATTACATCCCCTGCGACACAGAGGACAATACAAAATGATTCATGTTGATTCCTTCCTTGTTCTACAACACATTTCAAACTGCCATGTAAATAAATATCCCTATCATTAACTTGTATAACACAACAGTGGTTTGGACATATCCCCGATGTTTGTGTTATACTTCCAGTTATAACAGCAGTTTGGAATAAATCGAAGGTCATCATGTAAACACCGGACGTAAAGCATCACCTTCAGAGACTTTAATGATTTCAAATCAACAAAATGGATGTCACATTACCGACTAACAGGGTTTTATGGACATGTAATCTCTGAAAACGTCAATATAATCAGTAAACAAGGTGTTCAAAAGTGTAAATGTTCCTCTATGGTATCAAGTACACGTACTGCAACCTGGGGTCTTTGTTAAAACCCCCTAATTAACTATATTTTATGGATTTTCATATGTTACTTAATTATTCCATCTCTTCAAAATGTTAAATATAACAGATAGAATATCGTGCTCATGCAACAAGAAGCTATTTTTACGGCCAAGGAAATGCTATGCAAGTAGCTTACATAAGTGAAATGTACCGTAACTTCAAGTTAATAAGAATCCTAGGACGCACTGCCACCATTCAAATACTTTTAAAAATCTTTAGAGAATATACTCTACAGTAAACAATGCCTTGTTTAAATTGTATTTGATTGATCTGCATAGGTTTTCATCCACCAAAGGATGATCACAAGACTGTGCAACAATAAGAACAAAGTCTGCAGTGTATTTTCTAACATAACATATTTTGCGAATGCTCCCAAAGCTTCTTTCTAGATGATTTCAACACCCACTAGAAGTTATGAAATGGATACATGATAAAAAGAAGGCTTGATTCACAAGGGAGTGTTTCCACTGTTGCTCTGAGGAAACAGAAAGTGATCCAGCTGCTTTGGGAGAATCAGCGCAGTTTAGGACACTTGAAAATGCTATACAGTCCATGTCAGTATATGTGTGTCCTTAAAGCTTGCCAAACACATTCTCCTAAACATGCCGCTCTATTTAAGCTGCCAGGTCTTCCTGCCTCTGCCTCGCTCATGCTGCTGTGTTCACGTGCTACTGCTGCGTTCATGTTCCTGCTGCTGCTGCGTTCAAGTACCTGCTGCTGCCACTGCTGTGTTCACTTGCTACTGCTGCGTTCACGTGCTACTGCTGCGTTCATGTTCCTGCTACTGCTGCGTTCAAGTACCTGCTGCTGCCACTGCTGTGTTCACATGCTACTGCTGTGTTCACGTGCTACTGCTGCGTTCATGTTCCTGCTGCTGCTGCGTTCAAGTACCTGCTGCTGCCACTGCTGCGTTCACTTGCTATTGCTGCGTTCATGTTCCTGCCTCTGCCTCGCTCATGCTGCTGTGTTCACTTGCTACTGCTGCGTTCAAGTACCTGCTGCTGCCACTGCTGTGTTCACTTGCTATTGCTGCGTTCATGTTCCTGCCTCTGCCTCGCTCATGCTGCTGTGTTCACTTGCTATTGCTGCTGCTCGCCTGCCCCCCCCCCACCACCACCCCAGCTTCCACCTGTAGGCTCGGGGGATAGTTATCTAATCATCACTCAATGTTCTTTGTACATCTGTGGAGTGATGAGGCCCGATTCTAGACGCCAAACTCAAACTATATGCTTCTAATAAACATATTAAGAACACGTGAGTTGTCTTGTGTGTTTTATAAAATTGATATTTTTGACATTATTTAGGTGGAGGCTTCAAGTAAGCCCAGTGGCTCTCCCTGCATTGTTTATCACCTGTTATCTCTTATGTTTGTGCATTTTTTAAATATAAAAAACAATAAAATATACAAAAGAAATACCCTTGAATCAACGTTGAACTCGGAAAAAATGATACATTCTTTCTCAGCAAAAAACAACAACTTTAAGACCACTAGAAATGACAATCACCAACATATATAATAGATTTAATCAGCATCCTACCTGTATCAGCGACATGTTACTGAGGTCCAGTCTGAACAGGAAGTTCCTGGATTGAGGAGAGTGAAGAAAAAAGGAGTAAAAAATGTTTAAAAATGTAAACAATCAGAAGATAGACAGGCTGTCTGCTGTCAGCTTATTGCAAAGAGGATTTAAGTCCATACTGTAACCGTCCATCAGTATTAAGTCATTGTTTTTAGTTTTGTGTAAGTGGTGTTGCTTTAAACTGCATTTGTGTGGTCAAATTGAGGGAATGTTGAACTGAAGTCAGCTTACGAGAAAACACACCCACACATTATTGCAACATGACGTATTTCTTCCTAATTCATCCCTACTGCCAAATCCAAGAGCTCGACTTGGTCCAACACGGCCCCAGTTGAGCACTTAAGAAGCGTCATTATCTGGAGGCCGCAGTGCATGAGTAAGTCGGAGAGGGTATCACATTTGCTGTGCGGGGTGAACGGCTGAGTGGATTTCACTGAGTCTCACCTGGCACCCACAATAAGCTCATTCCTCGTCAGGTCAAGGGTGAGCTGCGAGAAGTCTCTCACGCCGGGGCGGGAGAACGAGGAGATCCACGGACTGAGCGCTGAGGAAAGAAAAAAGAGAGAGAGAAAGACATTAGAAAAGATAAATCGTGTCATAGTTCAGGGGATAAACGCAGTGACATTTACTCATAAACAGTATAGTTTACAATGGAAGACTTTCACATTTAGCTCTTTATAGAAGTGTTTGCGCTTTTTTAGGAGGCAAATATAAATAATAAGCTTATTCATTTAATTAAAAATGCAATTGATGATGTGACGACCCCTCCCCCTTCTGCCAGTCTGTGCTCCCTGCCTTGCTGTCCTCTGGCAGGTACTAGGAGTGTCCTGTTTGTGCCCTATCTAGAGGCGGAGCTTCAAGAAGGCATAAAGGCCTTCCTGCCCAGCTGGAAGGTTCAAGGTGCGTCTCACTTCGGTTAAATGGATTCCTTGCGTCCCTCACTTGAGTCGTTTCCCTGCGTCTAGTCCCTCCCACCAGGGAAGCATGGAGAGACGCAAGGAAACCACAAGAAGCAGTGACATGAGTTTTAAAAGCAATGGGACGTCGTTTCCTTCGGAGCGTCACGTGAAGCGACGTCCGTTTGTGATGACGCCGCACAGCTGATCGTCTGACAGCAGCCAGATCACTGCCTGCGCTGCATCGTCCAATCAGTGAGCGATACACAGTAAGGGGGCGGGGCGAGTGTCTGAGGATTTCACCGGAGGATGGTCTGGTAGTTCCTCGATTATCGCTCCTCCGTTATCGCTCCTCGCTCTTCGATCCTCGGTCCTCCGGCACAAATAAGGCCACTGGGACGCTACTCAAGATGGCGCAGACAAAACAACTTCCGGTGATACCGAGACCGAGGAGCGAGAAAATGAAAAATAACCGAAGTGAGACGCTCCCGCAGTCCCTCTGATCCTGGCCTGCTGCAGCAACCTCAGCCTACAGCACACTTTCACACATCCACACACTGCTGACAATCTTATCCTTACATATACAATTACTCAGAGGTATTTTAAGTGAACTGTTGAATAAACATCTGATTGGCCTATAACTCTGTGTGGCCTCCCTCTTTGTTGCCAGCCTTAAGGAAGGTTGTAACAATGAAGTGTGAGGATCTTTCATTTTTTCCTTTTCTATATTGATTCGAACATATTCGGTTTTTCGACCATTTGAACTGGAGATGTCTTGGCATTGATGTGAGGTCAGTTTTTCCAGTATTTTCTGACATTTGAGAAATGCTTTGAGAAATGTCAAATCCATGGCTTTTAATTATCATTTCAATGCCTTCCATTTTCAAATCATGTCTCAAAACATATCTCCACCCTGATCACATCTCACGTCCTCTGTTCTTATTGATTATATTGTCTTGTTTTTGTGCCGTTTAGTTTTGTGTTTTATGTATCTTGTACGGGGACCTTGAGAGCCTTGAAAGACGCCTTTCTAAATAAAATGTGATATTATTATTATTAGGTCTGTAAATGAATATATACAACTTTGTTAAAGTGGTAGTCATGAGCAAAATTTGACAAGTCACTGATGTGATGACAATTTTTTCACTATTTTCAGAAATGTTCTAAGCTAAGATTCTATTACTCGAATAATCAACAGATGCACTTATGTACCATAGACTAAATATGAGTCCTAATTGCAGCTGCAGTGGTACAAAGTGCAGGGAAAGCTTCTCTCTGCTGAGAGTCTCCTGCAGAGATGAAATCCTGAAACATCCTGACGTCTGGACACAGGATGAAACCTCGGCGCTGTTTGAAACTGGCTTTAAAAATCTAAATTTCAAAGCAGCGGCAAAGGGGCCACCTGGCGGGGCTTTTAAAGTCACTTTGAACACGGCATTTCCCTTCAATCTTTGTGGGACCCCAAAGCTCAGACCTTTAAACGGATTTCCCCACGTGGGAGGTTTGTCCGCAGCATGAAGGGATTCCCCATATTTCCCATGCTGTACACAATATCACAGCGGTTGGTGCGAGCTCAGACTCCCTTAACCAATTTCAAAAGCTTTGTTAAATGGCTTTTCCACAAAGCTTTGAGAAATGACAAAGAAATGGCTTTTAATTAAGAGTTCAAAGCCTTTCATGTCCGCAAATGAACGTATACAACTGTTGAAGTGAAACAAAGACACCGCTGATAACAGGATTCATTCGGGAAGTAATCCTCAGACATTTCAAACCTTTCTTTGCTTGAGACATTAAAGAGTCTAAGCTCCGGGGTTACGGCTACGTCAAAGTGTTGGAGAAAGTCTCGGAGAATTGTAAAACAACTCTGCATCGTGCTGGCTTTAGGATTGATGCGGCCATATGGCTCTGTCATCTGCAAACACTCGAGATATGAGTGATACAGAGACAGAAGGCAGCAGATACAGTATGCTGCTCCAGATTTAAGATACAGATACAACACACACACAGAGAACACAACACAAGCATACTGTAATTAAAGGAGCCTGCATTGACAGTAGGCTTCAGTGAAATGAAACCTGTTTCCTCCAGATGTTGGAGAGCTGCTGTCAGACTGATCTTGACTCAGGGTTTTATAGCGATGAGATGCAAGCAGGTGAATGACTCATCCATTTAGCAAGTCATGTTATTATCTCAATGAAAACATCCTCCCCTCTGTCATGAACCTTGGAGTGACCTTCAATAGCACTTTTCAATTCGACAAGCAGGTCAGCACCGTAGTCAAATCCTGCTTTTTTAAATAAGACTATTAGCCAAGACCAAGTCGTATTTATCTTGTAAAGACCTAGAAAGGGTTATTAACGCCTTTGTTACCTCGAGACTGGACTATTGCAACGCTCTGTATGTGGGTATGGGACCAGGCCTCATTAAACGCCTGCAGCTAGTGCAGAACGCAGCTGCACGTCTTCTGACTGGCCACAAAAAGCGTGACCACATCACCCCAATTCTGGCCTCACTGCACTGGCTTCCAGTTCGGTTCAGATTTAATTTTAAAATCCTTTTATTTATTTGTTTTTAAAGCACTAAATGGGCTCCGGCCTATATAGCCAAACTCCTCCATCGCTACACCCCAGCCAGAGCTTTAAGGTCGGCTGACCAGCTGCTGCTGATAGCGCCCAAGACCAGGCTCAGAACCCGAGGGCACCGAGCCTTCGCAGCAGCTGGCCCCAGGCTCTGGAACACTCTGCCCCTCCATGTGAGGTCGGCCCAGACCCTAGGGGTTTTTAAATCCTCACTAAAGACTCACTTCTTCTCCCTGGCCTTCTAGTCAGAGCGGAGCACGACACATGACTTTTCCCTGTGTTTTTGTTTTTTATATTTCTGTTGTAAATGATTGTCTTTTATTGTGATTGTAGTAATGTGTTTTTATTACATGTACAGCGCTTTGGCTCGACCAAAATCGCTTTTAAATTTGATTTGATTATATCTTTCTTAAACAAGGACCATGCATATACTTCATCTCAAAAAGAGAAAGTGCCTATCAAAACAGATCATAGAACAGATGTATAAATATAAATACTAGTCCATTTGTCAATATAACTATACAATATTTAGAAGAGCTCCATTTCAAAATACTCTTGTAATGAGTGGATCTCGGTTATTCTGAACTTTTGGACCAAATGTCATAAAACAGAATAAAACAATGTGTTGGTTCATCCTGCCTGTAGCACCTCACCCTACCTTGCTTAATCTTACTGACGACACAAATGCTGGAAAACTGTTAAAACAAATGTTTATAATATATCATATATAGAATAGTACTTTTTTGGATTGAATACAATTACTCAACTTGACATTACAAACATAGCTCACACCAGAGGAAGTTTTGGGTGTTTTGACCCTGTACAAATACACTGAACGACCAGTGAGGATTTTCTGCAAGAATGACAACTGTTGCATCTGTAACAAAACAAATCAATTGGACTGTATGCAGTTTGCAGCGCATCTTCCTAAAAGCCTAAAAAAGCAGGAAAAGGTGAGAAATCTTTCTCTTAAAACTTACTAACATTACTGAAGCTTTTCCAAGTGAATGGTGGATCGTTGGAGCAACTATCACTGTATATCACGTGACTTGTTGTTGGTATAAACATATCAGGTTTGACGCTAATTGAACCACGAGGCATTGATTGTAATTTAAAGCTCACCTATCATACAAACACCCTCTTCTTCATGTCTCTTCTACATCAACATGTCCTCTTCTTCATGTCTCTTCTACATCAACATGTGTCCCCTCTTCTTCATGTCTCTTCTACATCAACATGTGTCCCCTCTTCTTCATGTCTCTTCTACATCAACATGTGTCCCCTCTTCTTCATGTCTCTTCTACATCAACATGTGTCCCCTCTTCTCATGTCTCTTCTACATCAACATGTGTCCCCTCTTCTTCATGTCTCTTCTACATCAACATGTGTCCCCCTCTTCTTCATGTCTCTTCTACATCAACATGTCCTCTTCTTCATGTCTCTTCTACAATCAACATGTGTCCCCTCTTCTTCATGTCTCTTCTACATCAACATGTCCTCTTCTTCATGTCTCTTCTACATCAACATGTGTCCCCATCTTCTTCATGTCTCTTCTACATCAACATGTGTCCCCTCTTCTTCATGTCTCTTCTACATCAACATGTGTCCCCTCTTCTTCATGTCTCTTCTACATCAACATGTCCTCTTCTTCATGTCTCTTCTACATCAACATGTGTCCCCTCTTCTTCATGTCTCTTCTACATCAACATGTGTCCCCTCTTCTTCACGTCTCTTCTACATCAACACGTGTCCCTCTTCTTCATGTCTGTTCTACATCAACATGTGTCTCCTCTTCTTCATGTCTCTTCTACATCAACATGTGTCCCCTCTTCTCCATGTCTCTTCTACATCAACATGTGTCCCCTCTTCTTCATGTCTCTTCTACATCAACATGTGTCCCCTCTTCTTCATGTCTGTTCTACATCAACATGTGTCCCCTCTTCTCCATGTCTCTTCTACATCAACATGTGTCCCCTCTTCTTCATGTCTCTTCTACATCAACATGTGTCCCCTCTTCTTCATGTCTCTTCTACATCAACATGTGTCCCCTCTTCTTCATGTCTCTTCTA